ACATGCAAAAAGCTGATCGAAACAGGCGTTGATAGCTTTTGGGTTTTTTTTTGCCAAGATGTGTCAAAGCACTAGTCTAAAAATAAACGTGTAAGAAAAAAAAGGTGTTTTAATGTTTTTGCTAAATGTTTTTTTCCAGAGAAAACATCAGCATAAAAAAAGAAAACCTTACTAAACACCTTCCAAGTCACAGCACAGCTGCTGTCCGTTGCTCTAATTGAGTTGTTCTCACACAAACCAAGAAGAGCCAGCTGAAAGAACACGTATTAAGATAGATGTTTGCTTTAATTGTAGGTCACGTGACTAAATGTTCATTTCCTGTAGAATTAAGTGCTGCAAAAAGACCTTTGAAACCCTTTATTCTTTTTAAATCATTTGACAAACTGAGGTTAAATCCAGTGATGTTTGAGTGAGATTTGTGGAGCCGGGCTGTCTACACTCTGATGTGTGGACGATATTTGAGTCAAAAGACTTTTTTTTTAACAAAACACAAGGGTCATTTAAAGTGCATCACAAAAAATGTGTTATCTTTAGTTACGATCGGCTCTTTGATAGTGGTCAAAATAACCCTGAGCATTCCTTTCCTGTACATTTTTTTGCAGAAGGTGATATTTAAGGTGATGCCATGAAATAGTAGACCATGGGGGTAGATTATCTTTATTTTAAGTTGAGCTTTCTGTTCTAGACATGTTGAAAATCTTTTCTCTGCAACCTTTTATGACACTATTTTTCTCTTTATGGCAACATTTTAAAGTCCCAGGGTTTATATTTCATCGCGTTTGTTTGAAAATTGATTAACTGTGCCTAAAACCGTAGGCTGTGGCGTTTGCTGCACGAGTAGTGACACAATAAGAGGGAGAGCTGAAGGCCTCTGGTTGTTTTTCTAAGAGTCTGACCGTATCATCAAGAGGAAACCTTTACAGATAGACCTTTATGTTTACATTTCACTTCTTCCTGTCTTTGCTCCAACATCCCATTTGATGCTTTGTGTTCTGCTCAGAGGGGCGCGCTTTCTAATGTCTGCAAAAAGACAGAGTACATCACCTTCTAGGTGAAGGAAATGTTTGCATTAACTTATACATACATTGACAGAGCTAAATATGAAACTATTGTTGGGATTATTTAAATTTGGTGGTGATTTATCACATAACTGTCATACACATTATTTAACCTTGCTTAATCATTATTAAATGATTAGTTAACCTTAAAAAATACAATTAATTAGAGGTGATCATACTTAATAATCTATAAATTAACATATTTATTAATGCTTTATCCATAAAGACTAATTACTTCCACAACCAACACACTCATTGTTTATAATAACTCATGAATTAACTATTCTATATAATGTGTAATGTATGTATGTAATCTGGCAGCACATCAAGAGTTAAAGCAGTTGGTAGGAGTTAAGCCTTTTTGTGAACCCTTCTAAGGCAAAGTTGTTGTTTTTTTAGTGTTTGTAGAAAAAAAACCCTGATGGGCCACAAGTTCCTTTCCACCTGTGGAAATCAGACTGAAATCATAGTCGGTTCAAACGTTCACTTACACACTGTGTGAAAGTACATTTATGCATACATTTACACAGTATATAGAATTTTTAAGCATGAATAAACAATGAGCATGTTGGGTTTGGAGGTGATTAAATGAGTTAATGTACAGCTTGAGTATAAATCATCCATAATTAATGTTTTCAAGGCTAACAAACCATTTATTAATGATTAAATAAGGCTAAATAATGTGTAGTTATTGGGATGTGTGCCACTCTTTGTTTCTCCTGCAAATCTGAACAGCTTAAATTAAGTTCCTCCAAACGAGGCATTGACTTTAAGTTGATGGTGGCTTCAATTATCCAAATATTTGCTCTCTGTCAGAAAAAAGAGAATATTTTCCTTCAATATTTCCCTTTTAAAGCTGCAAATCTCAAAAGAGATAATAAAACGTGCATTTTTTTAAAGACATGATTGAATATAGGCAGCTGTTTATGAATTCCTCATTGGAAAAAGGTTTTGTTCCACAACAAGTCTTGCACCCTTGGCACTGTTTGTGTTACCTGTTTATCACCGGGGATGTTTGCGAAGTCCCTTCTGCCGTGTCGGAGGTGTTTTTTTGTGTCTTGCACTAATCTGTGCTGATCTGAAGTTACTTCCTGCCATTGTTGTGTCACATCCCCACTGTCTCCCCTCTTCCTGACAATCTAGTCCCCTCTTTCCTCAGCGAGGAAGCTGGGAGTTTGGAGAGGATACACACTCTGGGGGAGCAGTGTGTGTGTGTGTGTGTGTGTGTGTGTGTGTGTGTGTGTGTGTGTGTGTGTGTGTG